AATAAAGGTGGATTTGACCATTATTGAACATTAATGAGGATATTTTATTGTTGACTGAGTGATCGTGCCTCTCTGAACAATTATTATTACTCAAGTTTTAAACAATGAAATAGTAACTGAAGTAGCAATAAAAGTCGCCTATTTCGATATTAAATGTAGCCCATTTCTTTTTCTTTTCAATATTTGAAACAGCAACATTGGAACAAGTCAATAAAATAATTACAAAGAGATTAGAAATTATACAAAACATGTCTTAATGTGTCAGAACTATATATTGCAGACCTACATGCAGATCGTGATAAGGCAACCCAAAAAAATCTCTGACAGTCTTAACCCAGTCTACAATGCAATATAGGACCTCTAATTTAAGGTATCATTAGTATTAGCGATCAGCATATTTTTCTTTCTTAAATTTTTTGAGTTGATGTTTTATTCCCAGTGACGTAATGTTTTCATGTGTAATCGTAGGAGAAAAAAAAAAAAATTTACACAAACAGTATGAGAAGAACAAAACACAAGTGAAATCATCTCTGGCGCCTTCTTTGTCAAGTGTCTGATTTGCGCTCCATGCCACGCACTACACGCTGCGTTATGTTTTAAACCCTCTTCAAAACACCTCCACCTCCCTACTGTGCTCCCTCAGTAATTATTCAGCATTAAACGCAGACAGGAAGAACTTTTCACCGACTTCCTGCTCCGAACCCTGTGTCGGAGTGTGATTGGCAGCTGTATATTTTCTTTTTCTTTTTTTTTTTTTCCTCCAAGACGATTTTGCCATCTCCCATTCTCAGACTTGTTGACTTCCAGACTCGTTCACTCATCCGTCGCTATTGGGCTGTGATTGTATTTTGTATGAGGTCAATGGCCCTGCTACTTTTTTCATTTAAATTCTCCCTCTTCCATTTTATTTGCGAGTCTTTTCGAGCAACATCTGCGCGCATGGAGCTGTAAGCATGGGCAGGATGTGTGTGTTAATGGCACTTGGCGTTCCTAACAATACCATTTACAAGCCAGTTGCTCCCCCATAGACCCCTGAAGGAAAGGAGAGATAGCGTATTCAACTTCCATGTATGCAGTTCTAAATCAGTGTGTTCAACAGTGTGTATTCCTTTGTGCCTCCAGGCTTTTCATGCTTTAAAAAGTGCTCCCGGCAATGGGAAAAAAAAAAAAAAAAAAACTATTTAGAGGAAATGGCATTCATTAAAAAGAAGCTTGTAGATCTTTAATCGGCTCAGAGTAAAAAAATCACATGTCAAACAAAATGTACTTGATATTTCAGATCACTAAAACTGGAGTTTACCATCACAGCAAGCAAAAAAATATGCAATTCCCCAAATTATTAACAATAAATCTGCTTTGAATATAGTATTTACAAGTTGAAATTTCTGTCATTTGAGCCTGATGCGAACCTACAATGTGCATACTTTATACTGGGCATTGTGTAGCGTGTACCTGGTAAAGAGTACGTGTTGTGATTATATTATTACTTTCTGATTGGAGGCCTTCTTCTCGAACAAAGCCGAGCGCGCTGGCTTTTGTCTCCTTGATTGCAGCTGGTGCCACTCTTGGAAACAATCAGCCTCCCATGCAAATTTCCACAGAATGGGACTTGATTCTTTACCAAATGAATGTATGGCAATGTGCAGAGTGCCGCCTAAATTAGCCCTGTTTCAGACAAGTTGGAAGTCACTTTTGTGTTCAGTTGGGTTTGGACACAGGTGTGAGGGTTTTTGCTTGAATTGGATAGTAGTAATTTTGGTAAACAAGAAGGTATTGATTCTCTCATTTTTATTGTGTAGTCCAATCTGGGCACAAGTTGCTCAAAGTTGGAGAGAGTTCTAGTTGCTTTTGGCATCACATAGAGTACAGCCTAAACAATGCCCAGTTAGGAGTGAGGTTGTAAAATTTGCTATGAATAGAAAAGATTTTTTGCACAGGATAGATGCAACTGTAAAAGGGGGACATTCAGCAGTGGGAGTGACATTCACTGGTGGTATACAGACTCCTTCCAGTTCTTTGGTGTGTGGGTTTGCCATATTTAGGCCCCATCCACACTAGTATGTATTCGAGTTGTTTTTGTTGCGTATGCAGTGTTCGTCCACACTAATCCCATGGAAAACGGCTCCAGAGGTGAAACGAACTGGTGCCACCAGCTCTCACGAATTCATCTGAGTACGGATCTGATCCAGCACTGTGTGGATGCCTGAAAACACTGATATGGTGACGTAGGAGCTCAAGTTGCCATCCTTATTGGACCACGTCACTGTGACTACCGCATTCCTGATTCGCTGGGTTTGTGACATTGGTCATGTGATGCTCTTGCAGAAAACAGTTCAAACAAGCCATAGACAAACTGGAAACAGCATACAGAGTAGCTAGAACTACTTGCACAGAACAGACTCACCATTAGCAGAACACCCCTCTGTCACAGAAAGAACAATGAGCGAGCTGTTTTTTGAAAAATGTAAACAAATATGTGCAAAGTTGTGTGGATAGAGAAGGCTTGTGGACACAGAAACAAAGTGTCTGGACGCAAATCATTTCTGATTCAGTGATACAGTGATTCGTTTAATTGTAAACATAGCCTTAAAACTCATTTTGAACATGTTTTGGTCCTCCTTTGGACAATCTCTTCTTCAGAACTACAGTGAAAATGATGAAGTCCATTAAGACCTGGTACTGCCCTGGATTAGACCTGGAATAGTTCTGTTACATTCTTGATTTAGATGTGGTGGTACGTAGAAAGCCAAATCATTTCTTTCATAGTACTTTGAAAGCCACTGATCTAGGCTATTGTGTTGGAAAATTTAATATATTAAAAGCACTTCTAAATTCTACAGGCCAATTTGACTGGAGGGCAGAAATAGTGTACAGATAGTACATCCTTAAAAGAAACACAGAACCATGATTTTACCTTTAGCTATATCCTCGTTGTTTTGTGCATAAATAAGGCGCTTGCCGTCTGAACACATCCTGCTACAATGACTTCTAACAGCCACTTACAGCACCAAAGACTTCTGTTATTTTTGCATTAAAGATGTAAACAGGCTCTATAACAATCCTTTCTTCTTTTCTGCATTCTCAGTTGCGTTAGTCTATTCATTATTACCACCATGCGCCAGTGATCAAAGCCAGCTCTTTCTTTTGCTCATCTACGGTCACTCTCGCCATGTCAGTCCTCGTGTTAGCGTCCCCCGCTAACATAATTAGAGCTTCTCATACTTGTGTTCCAACATCCTCACACCATTGCAATCCCTCACTCATTTAGCTGCATGTTATCTGTCAGCCTCGTCAGATTACACTTTGTGAGAGACAAACGCCGGTATAGCTGTCCCTGAAAAGCCCGTCTCAAATCTTTAAATATCGATCCCCCGGGGGGCCTTAGTCGAGGTGCTTCTCCCTCTCTCTCCACCATTCAGGAAGAAAAAAACAGATCATTAGTGATTTTAATTAGGTGATCTGTCAAGCCGCGATTGCCAGATGTAAGCGTATGCATTTGGGTCGATTGTAAATCCCTCTCGCGCACGCTCCTTCCTTGTCACCTTGAGCAGCTAGAATGGAGGATGTCTCTTGCTAGGAACAAGACAAGCAGGAGGGGAGAGGAGAAATGTGTCATAGCGGATATATACGAGGTTGGTTGTGGTGTTAGATTGGAGGTGGGGAGCTGCGATGGAATACAGGAGAAACGAGCTTGGTGGGTTGAAAAATGAACAAGAAAGATATGGCAAGAAATAAGCGTTGATCACATTTTTAGGATGGATTCAGGCTGTACACTAGACTGTCGTTTGCTGGATCAATGGCATATGGAGTGAACTACTGTAGGTGCTCCAAATCAAGCCTAGCTATAAATCTAGAGATGTGTCCACTACTGATGCCCACAGCTCTTAACAGGTTGAAACTAGGGGGTCAAATGCAAAGAGCAAATTGGAAAATCAGTATGATATTAAACACATTAATGCAGCAATATTCAAATATAATAGTTGTAGTTTATATTGCCGTGCTTTCTTAGTGTGAGGGGAATTATCTCTTCCCAGATCTGACCTGTAACTTGGACTGGCGCCATCACTTACTAGTCTTCACAGATATAGTTAAAAGCCTTATCATTCAATGCAAAGCAAGAGAAGATCTTATAATTTTCTATGGAGATTTGGACTTGAATTACTTCTTGGGTAATGCTGTCAGTCGCTTTATTTTGTTCTGGCACTAAGCTGCAAAAATGTTATTAAACTTGTGTTTTTAAGGTCAGGTGGGAAATCAATTAAAACCATGAATCACCCGAAAAAGTAGTTGTTGTTTTGCCACGTCGCCCAGCCCTTATGATTTCAAGTATTATGCCCGACGCTGAAGTAATGGGTTTCATATTTGCTCGGATTTCACGGCTAAATTGTTCAATAATCACCTTGACACTTTGCGGTTATTGCGATTTGAGCATGAAAAAAAAAAGATCTATTGTGTGTCCTTTCGGAGAGTACAGCCTCCTGGAGACGCAGACAAATCTTTTTTTCACTCCAGCGTTAAACATCATTACATATTTATAACTCGGCGCCAGATGACAGAGACAGAGAGGCAGAGAGGCAACAACACCGCAACCCGTCTGACGCTGCTCGCCGAGATGGATCTGATTGCACTGTTTAAAGCCGCCTCTCCTCCCGTGTTGCTATAGAAAACCCAATTATACAAGAGCTGCAAATGGACTTTTGATTTAACAATTCCTAATTTAATTGCCACATTAGGAGTGCCCTAAACATCTCGTTGTGCTGCTGTGAAAGGCAGTGCAGTGTAGAGAGATGAAATTGAAGTTAGTAGATACTGCAAAAGAGAACAGGAAAACATGGACTCATCTCAAGGCTTGGTGAAAGGAGATATGTTCAAAATGGCCTGTTATGAAAATATTGATCACAAAATGATGATTCATGTTATAATGACGTTTATGTAGTATGAATGATGCACAGAGAAACTTTCAACATATCTAATGGTGTATTGTTGTTTTTCTGTTGCAGATTCCAATGAAGGCTTCCACTGCCAGGATGAGTGCCGTATCCTTGGACACTCTGACCGCTGCTGGATGCCACGCGTGGCTGTGCCGGCCCGTGCCAAGTCACCAGAGCACTCTCGTAATGTCATCGCCCTGTCCATCGAGGCCACTACAGTGGACGTGCCACACTACGAGGATGGCACCATCAAAAGGACTTTTGCCACCTTTGGCAAGGACGGCCATGAAGATGTGGAGCGGGGCGATCTGAAGGGGAAGCGGACTCAGGAGTCTCAGGTGTGCAGCCCTAAGGCCAATGGAGGGGCTGTGCGAGAGGCAGGGAATGGACGTGAGGCGGCCAGCCCCATCACCTCCCCTGTGCACCTGAAGAGTCCAGTGTCCAAACCCTGCCCCTCCGCCTACAACACACTCAAGTGTCGCGATGCCGAGCGCATCGCTAACCACAGCCTGCTGCGGCAGCCTGAGGGCAAGGACAGTGAGCCGTCTGTGAGGGAGATCAACACTCTCCTCCAGGACGGCCGGGACAAAGAGTCCCCCAGCACCAAGCGCCTCAAAGACATAGTGCTTTAGCCTGGACTGGATGGGCTCACTCACGTTTAGAAACCCGCAATAGCTGTGCGCACAGGAGGCCGGCCTGCTGCAGAGACACACCCATGTGCAGTGTACAGTGTCCAGTCCGTCTTCTGATGGACTGCAGTACGCTGTAGCTAGTCGTGTGCTCCACCTGAGCTAGTGGATGTGGCTTTGTCGTAGTGGCAGTACTTTTCCTTGTTTGCTTTGTGTTCCCTTCTCTCAGTTGCAGTTAGTGGACAGGTGACTGTTGACTGCATCGACCGGCTGGAGGAGCTGTCCAGCTCTCAGCACCAAAGCAGGACACCACTTGTGTGGACACCCGAGGTGCCATTCCCGAGTACAGTTTTGCCTTTTGGACTACTTTTGTACCACAAACTGATATTTGCCTTTTTGGTTTTTGCAGTTTGTTCTAGCTGCCAAAATCGCTTTGTTCCTTTGTACAGTGATCTCTGTCAATGTATTAAACCACAGTGAACACAGGATGAACTGTCTGGGCTGACTCCAGTGTGGAGTGTTCAGAGACTAATGAGAGGACTACTGGCTCCACGTCCCTGAGACAGGCTGTCCTCAGGCTGTGGGCTTTAACACTGGTCATGTTTGATGAGCCTAAAGAACTATTACAACCTGCCCCGCACTCTCTCAAATGGGACAGACACATCCTAGTGTTTCTTTTGAGTTGTATGAAAAAGACTTTCTGCTTTTGAAATCTCCTGTGCCCAACCTTGATTGTAGCCAGTGGAGCACAAGTTAGAACATTGTGCTCTGGTCTTGTACTTTTTTGACTTTTGACTATGGGGCTAGGATAGAAGGGATCGTCACTCTCATGTCTTGCTATGTGAAGCTCTGTATAGGGTTTACTATTATCATTTTTAATAACCCGTTGTTATGTGACAATCCCTTTAATGTTTTTGTTTCAAGAAAAAAATAAAACAAATAAACATTGGTGTTCAACTGAAGCTACAGTAGCGTTTGTTACACAAACACAAAAATGAAAAAAACATATATGCCAAAATATATTTTATAAATAATTTAAAATGTATAATGAGAATATTTAATGCTGTGTAGTTATTTTAAAGAGTAAGTTATACTTGAAATTAACTTGCTTATGATAATTTGTCTTTTGCTTTTATATTGATTTTTTTTTCTTTTTTTTTTTTTTTATTAATTTTCTGAAATGGAACTTGGAATTATTATTTTTTTGTTTACTGTGTGACCCCCAGCAACTGTTGACTTGCAGTTTACCTTGTTGTAAAGAGTTTCTTATGGTCAGTTCTTGTGCCATCAAGTTTCTGTGTGGGCTACTAGAAAATGTTAAAAAAGACAAAAAAAAATCCAACAATGAAAAAAGAAATTTCAGCACCAACATTAGTGTGTCCGTCCGAGCTTCGAGTGAGATAGCAAAAGAAACCAAAAACATGCACAGAAATTCTTGCAGGACGTTGGCTTCAACTTCAAAGAAGGAGACAGCACAGTTCCACCTTAAATGTCTAAAGCTGGCCCTATTGAGTTTAAATATGCTTAAGATGGAGATACATTTTGGGTCTTTGTTGAGTTGATCTTAACAAGTTGCTTTAGCGTGTAAGGTGGAACAGACAGGGCTCTCCCATTCAACAAAAACAGTTATAGTAGGAATATTAACAGGTCCTTGGAAAGAACAACATTGCACATGTGAGGATTTGGAGGACGTTGCTTTGCAGTAAATATGTACAAAGTACACACAAAAATGAGTGAGAGTGGACCGACCGCATACAACCAACTAGATCTTGTAGCTGAATGTTTTGCTGGTCTCACCCATGGCTTCTGGCAACATGAAAATCGGAATAATCACTGAATGTATACAGCAGCTTATAAATAAACTATTAAATGTGACTGGCCTTGACTCTTGTGTTTTCACTTAAATCAATGTTTACAATTTCAGTATTCGTATGCGTGTGATGTTTTATATAAGCAATATTAATTCATATTAAAGAAGCAACAGTGGCACGACTTTCTATACTTCTATACTATACCATACAGTAACTCTCAGGTTCAGAAATTATAGACAGGCGAGGTTATTAAATGTAGCCTGATTTTTACTGTATTTAATTAGCTTGTTTAAGCTGTTTGCAATTATCCAAATGTATTCCTCCCTTTTTGTAACACAATCCTACCACCCTAATTATTCGCTATGATAAATTTTCACAACTTTAAGATGCAAGTTTTGTCACACCACTGCTAACAACTACTAGCATGTGAACAGCCCGCCAGCCTTTTTTCCCCATTTTTTTAAATAGATGCAGATGCACTTATCTCTTGCTTTATAAGAGCTGCTTTATAAACATGTGTACTGGGGCAAAAAAAAAAAAAAATCTTATAAAAGGGTTTAAATGTAGTACTGCATTAATGAACAAAGCATGTATAAATGTGTAGCCTGCATTTGGACAAAAAATAATGTTGTGAATAGTGACCTAGACATCTTCGTCAGTATATTAGCCCTGTTGTGTACTGCAGAACGCCTTCAGAGCAGCAGCCACTTGAAAACATCTTCAATGCCATTTAGCTTTTCACAGAAGTTCAGAAAATGCTGTGTGTCTTTGAACATGTTCGTATAGTCCCAAATGGGGTTAACATCACGGTCATTAAACCATTAGTAGTGTGATGAGAGCTGTAAGGATAAGAGAGCAGAGTTATGGAAGAGAAAGTACCAAAAAGAAGGTCAAGGAAAGAGAGAAAATAGCTGCCAAAGTTTTGTTTACTGGATATTCATATTTAATATAATTTTTTTTTTTAGTTTACTTATTTTAGGCTTACAGCAACAATAAATAAACAAAACCATTCCAGACACTTTAATTCAGTACAAAACAAATTGCTAAATGAGATACATCATTGGCTCTAGAACCTACTTTAAAAAAATACAGCAAATCGAGCCACAGCTTCATTCAATATTTTTTACTCAAAAAGACCTCCACAAGATGTAAATTAAGGCTTTCCTACATGCCACTCTCGCCATGAATATTGTATGAATCTACATCCTCGTTATTTCCAAGCAGACCTTTGGGAATTTTCAACAGGTGAGGTCTGTCTCCTGTGCTCTTTTCAATTCCTGAGGAGGTTCACACATGCCATTTTAGGAGACTTTTAACATCCCCCCAAAATGACTCTGGGTGTGTTGTGATCAAGTCTGCCAGGGCTGTTCCTTGCTTTCAAAAGGCCCAAATTAAAGATCCTATGTTTGCGGGGCTCTAAAATTCACATTCACATAAACTTCAATCAGTCAAAAATAAAGACAGATATAGAAGCAAACTTAACCATGTTATAACCATGTTCCCTCATCATTAGCTTGGTTGTATTTGTATTAATTTGTGCATGTTTGAGTAATCCTGTATACTGTCCTACTTTAGAAAAATTGCATTATTCACCTACCTCCTATCTCTGCCCACTTCGCTGTACTTGCCACCATTCAAAAAGTCATTGATGTCTCAGAATCTAGTTAAATTTCTCTAGGAGGTCAATGGATCATATCTATTATTGAGTCATTTTAAATCACTATTAATGATTTATGATTAATTCATGGAAAATAAGGTTTTACATAGGTATTTTATAGGTATTATTTAGGTATATTTTAATACTAAACACCTGAAAAAGTACTACATAATATCTTATTTAAAGCTACCATCTGTAATTAAATTGGCTGACCTGCCCCTGTACTCTCACACTTCAACACCGGATGCTATCTACATTACTGCTCTCTGATAGTGTGAAAACTTTTGGTCTGGCAAAAGAAGACCAAAGAAGACAGGTGAGGCAAGGGGGGAACAGGTTTCTGCCATCTGAGGGTAAAAAAAAAAAGCAAATAAATGTATAAATAGTAGCTTTAAGAAAAACTATTTTATAACAACAAAAGTAATCTGATAAATTGTCATTCATTTCATTACGGTGATTTTGCATGTCAGCCCTTTTTCTAGAAGCACTCTGCCTCCATTGTTGTTTTAATAGTCTCTCCTCTTGCGGGCAGATTGAACCATGTCTTTATAACATCATCCACTTGAAATATTGATTTATTAGTTGACTTGGACTGACGTGGGCTAAAACCTATGGAAAATGTTGAAAAGAGAGCCAGACCCGGAGTCTTCCCCTGTCACCACCACTCAATAAGCACCTCTGTCTCAGCAGCTCTGACTCGGTTTGTATGGATCGTACAGGAGAACTGGGGGAGAGAACTGCCACACAGCTGCCCTCCACGATAAGAAAAGGAGGTTGGCTTCATTTCTATAATTAATTTGCCATTCCCTCTATAGCCTCTGGTGGAGCCAACATGAAAGCCAGTCTGAAAGCACACTTGCTAACACATCCATTAGTCTATAAGGAGGATCTTGTTTCTTGCAGCTAACTTCTCTCTCCTCTTGGGCGATGGCGGCACTCCGAGCTGGGGCCCCGCGCTCGCATGAATTACTGATGGCCTTTCGGAGACGTGTTTAGACCCCTGGGTGCCCCGTAACAAACTAAAGGTGCGCACACTGAAGGGCACGGCATGCATTTTCGCATTCATTACGCAGGAGCTAGCTGCTTTATCAACCGCCGAGACACCACGACGCACAGTGCAGTACAAATATGGTGGAGTACCATCAATAATGCCTGAAATTCCCTCAAGTTGTGGCTTATTTGCGATGCAGGATGTGTATTCCCAAAATGAATCTTCTAACTATGTATTTAAAAGGCCCATAATGCTATTTTCCGATCTATGCTGTAAAGTTGTTTTCTCATCTAAAACAAACCTGGAGTTGTGTTTAGTTTCACTGATACAGTTAGCTCACAAACCTTACATATTTAGGCTGAGTCCTTCTTTCAAACAGAAAACACTCTGTTCCACCTTGTGATGTCACATGGTACATGGTACATACAGGAAGTACTCTGTTGTCTTTTTAAAATCCACACACCTTCACTAGAATCATTTCAGTAATTTCAGCTCTCAAATTGTCAATCTCTGCTGAACTAAATATAGCTGATAACATGAAAACTACCGCTTCATGACATCATAAGGTAGAACAGAGCATTTTGAGCTTTAAAGATGTAAACAGACTAAGAATAATGGTGACATTTTGGTTGCATTTTTTTATACTAGTGCTTTTCCACCTTCA